TTAGGAGCTTTTCCCTTAGATACTCCAAGCACATCTTTTGCAATATTCTTAATATCAATTGAAAAATCATAAGCTAAACAAAAATCCAATATGGTCTTGCCACCTTCATTCTTCGTTCTAAATCCATGACCACCATGAATGCTTTTAAAATCATCTACCTCTCTATCAACATGTCAATTTAAGTCTTCTCCAATAAAAACTCTTTCTTCAAGAGGTATCTTTTGTATTAACTCTTTTAAGTCATTCCAAAAATTTAATTTAGAACTCATATCCAAACTACTTGGGGAGCATAAACACTTATAATATTAACAATCTTATCATCAACAACAATCTTTAAAGTAATAATTTTAAATCCTAAACTATCAATTTCCTTAGCCTTCTCTCCAACCCACTTAATTTCCTGAATGCACAAAATATTTAACTTCCTATGAATCATAATATATATTAATTCCATTAATTTTCTTTTAAGGGAACCTATATTCCATGTTTCTATCCTAATTTTAATTTCATGGACTAGCTTCTTTGCCCACATTCGTCCTTGATGTGAGAACCCTTGTCTATTTAACATTGCACCCGGGCGCCGGTGCAACGGCCCTTGCACACTTGTCACTGTATTCAGGCCATACAGCGCGTCGCTTTCAGGGGACGCCCTAGCATTAACACAATTTCTTAAAGGTTTTTTATCATTATTGTTCGACGAGTTTTACGCTGACTGTCATTATTATTGAATCCAGAATTACTGTGGAACGAAAATTCAAATGACGTAGCAATGATTTTTGGCTTCGCTGTGCTTTCAAATATAACACCACAACACTACAAAACATAGCCACCGAAGTGCTCCAATTCAAACAAAAATTTAGATTTTCATATTTTTCCCATTTTAAAATATTTTAATATCTTCAATTTGTTACAATATGCTTTATATCTTCTACTCTATTTTTTTCAAGAAATATGTTCGAAAATTCATTTTTGGGCAAAATTAATCTTATTTCATTTATTGATTGTTTATTGAAGTCCATCCCGAATAAAATTAGTTAGAATTTAAATATTTATTTGAACTTCGATCGAACCTGCATTCAAACAAATATTCAAATGTCGTTTTCTACTCACACATCACTCCCACAAATGCATTCCCTATCGAATTATTTTGCATATTATGAAGTATTATTCTCCTCACACACCATTACTGTTGTCGAAGCGTTCCAAGACTTCTACTACTTCACATGTCATAGCTCTGTGATCCTTTCCCAGTGAGTTCTGTCGTGACTCTTCTTCTTCTCACATGTTGGAGATACATTTGAAGCTTTCCCCAAGCAAGCTCCAGTGCCCATTGACGGGTTCACTCATGCCCACGAACTCCCTCTCTCTCAGGAAACTATTGGGTCAGATCATCGGACACAGCTTACGTTTGATATTCACAATACTGAGCAATATTGAACTCGGTACTGAGTACCGAACAGTACTGAGCAGTATCGAGCTCGGTACTGTTTGGTACTGCTCAATACCGAGCTCAATATCGAGCTAAAAACCGAGTAGGAGGTGATGTGACACATTTTCATTGTGCTCCGAACAGGTCTGATGACCTGACCCAATAATTTCCCCTCTCTCATACCATGGATGGATTCACTAATATAGGTGCATTCACACAAATATTTTAGTTTAAATACAAATTTTAATTTTAATAATTTTAATTTAATTTTATCTATGATGGGCTTAGCTCATACTGTATTGAATGAACTCAAAATAAAAATATATAACACCATTTTTTATTTGCCCACTATTTTTTTTTGGGAAACGGGGAGTATCGGCATGCTGCAATTGGCGATGTCCACTAGTCTCCTCGGCTGACCTAGACGAGCGACCTACACCCTTGTTACTCGTGGCCAGTAATTATTGGGTCCCCCTAGAGGGGCGACTGCCACCCGAGAGAATTGAACTCGGGATGGGGATTCCCAACCGAGCACGCCCACCAACCATACTAAGCATAGGTGGGTCATAAAAAAAAAATTCTTAGAACAAAACTTTATTTGTATTATAATAACGCTCTTATTAGTTAATTTTGTTCGAGTGGGCGAGCGCCGAGCGCGAGTGATGAGTAAAACCGTGCGGTAAACTCCTTTTCGCTGAGAACCGCTCCCGGGCTACGGCCGGCACTTTTCGATCTTCTCCTCCTCCCCGTACTCCGATCATCATCATCGGCCTTCGCTGGCGCCGCTCAACTGAGGGGATGAGCGGCGCACGGCTTTGCTCTGTGCTTGGCGAACTGGGAATCGGTGGCCATGGATCTTTCGAGCCGGACAGCTTCGAGTGGCCATTCCAGTACGAAGAGGTTGCCCCAGTACTCGATTGGATATGCTCCAGTCTCCGCCCCTCTAATGTTCTCTCTCCTTCCGAGCTTTCCCAGTTAGTGCCTCCTGAAATGTTCTTTATCTTTACTGGTTAAAGCGAATGGAACTGTCAGCTTATCGTTTTCTTTGCTCTCTACATGCAATTTCTATTTCGCTTGTCTATTGATTTGATTTTTCCGACGCTTTTTGTCTTGATCCCGTTCACAGGTACGAGCAATTGCTAAACGAGGGCAAGCTACTCGAGGTGCCTTGCTCTTTCATTGCTATACATATATAATTTCTTTCATAGTAAGATGGGTAGGCTCCGTTTAGTTGGGGTGGCAGTAGGCGAGCATTGTATAAAATGAACTATGTCTAACTTTAGAAAGCTTATTTCTCATTTGGATTCTCAAATTGAAGTGTTTTAATAGTTGAATAAAACTATGATTTGGCAATGTAAAACGAGGAACCAAGGAAATACTGGCGTTGGCACAGATGCTTGTTGTTGGCTGCCGCTGCTGAAGCGAGAAAAACCCAAAATGCCAATTCAAAGGTCTGAAAGGGAAGGGAAGAAAACATATACTAAGAGTAATGCAAGCTTTAATTATCGATGCCAATTTATTGATGAGTTTCTTGATGTTCTTCTTCTTCCTTGATCCTTCCAATGCCTATGGTTTGCTTGATTTTGTGATCATTATTTTAGTTGTGACCACATATTCAAGAATTTCACACGTTCTTTAGAGTTATGTTTCTCTTTAGTAGAGCTTGATTGGTTTTAGAATGGATATGAGAAAATTGCAGGCTTTAATTGTTAACATCTTATGTCAAAATGAAAAAATTCCAGTGCATTCATGATGAGCTTCTAGGATTAGGATATATCGTTGCAAATACCTGTACCAAACATGTTTACCTTTGCACCAAGCCACCAGGATGGATTATAGATAGTGCACGTCTCATGTTGAACATTCTCGTTAAGATTTATGATACGTGTCAGTTTTTACATAAATCTAATTCTTCATAAGATGTTTGTCTCATGTCAATGAAAAATTCATTTTCTTGTGTATTTTGCTAGGCATCCTTTTGTTTTTCATCCTTATTTTTAATTCTGGAACATCTTTGCAGGGAGAGGATTTAGATTCTGCCTATGATAGCATTTCTGCCTTTTCAAGCAGGAAAGACAATCAGGAAGCCTTGTTCGGAAATGAAGAAAGACTAACAGAAATTAGGTGATGTTCTTTCTTTTGTTGGCTTACTTTTATGGCCTGATGTCCAGAAATACTGTTGGCAAGAATTGTACTCTAGGATGTAAATGGACTCTCTTTAGGCCTATAAAACATTTCTAGACGGTCTCTCATTTGAATTACTCTAGGAAATATCCATGCAACTGGGGCTTTACACTAAACTAAAAGAGCCTTATAGTGTTTTTGTGACTTCAGCAAACATAAGCTATTTTTGCAGAATTTTTATATATTTTTGAAAATTCATGGCTTCCTTTAATTCTATATTGGGCGTGAAATCAGGTTCTCCAAAGCTCCATCATTTATGAACTGCTTTTGGAAAAATTAGTCAAACTGTCGTGATCAATGCATTAGTATTATGTTTCAGAGGATTGAACAGATATGGGATGTTGAACCCGGATCATATGCCTGAAGGCATTGGCTTATGGCTTAGGAGTTTTCATAGCTGAATTCAGATCTCTAAGAGCAGTTCTTATAAGTTTGATTAGAAAATGGCAACTTAGAAAGCAAAGTATTTTGCATAGTTGATTTCTATCAAGAGTTACTTGATTCTTCGAAAAGACACATTTGGCCATGCTAAAAGAACTTCCGCTGAAAACATTAGATGCTATCTATCCATTTAAGGGAAGTTACCCAAAAAAGTTTTTTTGAAGCATCACTTTTTTGTTGTAAATGTTGCTGCGGCTGTTTCTGATGCAGGACGTTCTAAGTTCTAAGTCTAAGTGCATATTTTGATTTGATGCTAAATTAATTTGGTGAGATGAAATGTAAATGTGCAATTTGTGCTATGAAGCAAGGTATCCAACGCAACAATTAATTAGCAGTAACAATGGGTTATAGAAAATTGATATTACCGAAGTTTAATGAAAAAATATTGATTTACAGTTAGAAATTCAGGAGAAATCATGAAAGCCATGCAATTGGCTGAGTTTTTGTGGTATAATAAGATACCAATAACTTTTATATCAATCACAAAATAAAGAAAGAAGTATAGAGAAGAAATAATAAGAAAAACATACTAGTTAGTTTCAAGTTAGAACAAGGAGATTATCTCTTATAATAGAGGAGTTTCAAGTCTCACATTTCATTAAGCGTTACAATCCCAAAATTGATGAATACCTGATCAGTCCCTAATAAGAAATTTGTATTCATGGCATAGACTGCCTCTACCTTAAAAAACCGTTGCTAATTCTAGATCCAAGTTGCAAGATCAAGAAAGATGCAAAAAAAAAAAAAAAAAAAAAAAAAAAAAAAAAAAAAAAAAAAAAAAAATCTTTTGAGTTCGTTGAGTTTAGTGGTTTGTAATGCCTCTTGGAAATTTTACGAGCTCAATGTGATGATAAGTCCAACTGGTAGAAAGCACTGAAATAGAAATAAGGAGCCAAAATAATTTTTACACATTGTAGGCATGCCTAAAAATCTATGTGAAGAGAATCTCTAACTCACTCATCTAATCACAATCAAAATGCAAAATACCGATGCACCGCAAACGTTTTGCATTTCTAATGAAGACCATAGACTTTGAACTCCGCATTGATTCTCTTGCTTTTTCTAATCTTTATTTGGTCTTTCTTGTCTATTTACTTAGAGTTTTTTTTTTGTCCTGTATTGCGGCTATGTTTATTCTATTAGAGAAATGTCTTTTTAATATGATCACTTTAACTTTTTTTGTGAACAATTTAGGTTTTTTGAACATTGGTCTATTTTGTTAGGGAGGCAAAATCAGCTTACAAAGAAGATGCTCTAGAAATGCAGAAGCAACTTGAACGACAGAAATCTCAGTTCTCTTTACTAGCTGGTCAAGTTTCATCTCTCATCCAGGGGAAAAGGGCTCGTGTGGCTGCTGTAGCTGCAGTCAATGGACAACTTGCAGCTTTGGATGAGAAGCTTGCTGGTCGAAATTTAGAGGTAAGCTTTTAGAGTTTAAGAGATGCTTCAATAAATCTCTATAAGTTATAGTTTTTATTCAATTATGAGCATGAACCTTGTGTGTTGGCTTTTGCGTGCTTGTGTGTATTTACGTGAGGTTTTGTGTGTGTGCTCGTTGTTTTATTAAAAGGAGAAATAATCACCTCTATTTTCTTCTTGAACTATGAGTATCTTTGTTTTTTAACTTAGACTTGTCATCTGACAACTAAGCATTTCACTTATTTCTAAATGGATCTTAAATGTCATACCCGTTGTGATCCCCTTAGTCAACCGAAGGTGTAATAGAGACGGATTGTCCAATTAGATACATTGTCACCAATACCCATCCTGAAGTAGAAAATGAATTTGTCTAGACTATCACACACGTGTAATGCACTCCAATTTTCACATAGTACATCTTGATTAGTTATTTAAAAGCATGCACAATATTCATCAGTTTTACTATATATACTTTAAATAAAATTGTATGTTCTAATATTTAATTTACGTATTAAATCTGTTTTCCAATCTACTCTCAAAACTATATACCCCAAGGTACAATGTTCACGGTTCAATTGATCACCCGCCTCAAGCCCTGCTCGCGTTTTTCCCTTTCACGTATTATATTAATTAGTTAGCTGAAAGCTCAATGAGATACATAATTTTAGTACATGATTCAACATATAAGAATAAGTAGTTGTCACATATTTAATCAATATAATACTCTCAAGCGCGATTAATTTTTAAAGTCAACTAAATTATTCAGCTGAATTCTTTCATGTAAATAACTCTCTAAAAAATTCTACCAAAAATCTTTGGGTGCATTACCTACATACACATTCATAAATAACACTAGTTTAAGCTTGATCCTAGAGTCCTTAAATGTGTCTTTATTGAATATTCTTCCACTAAAAAGGGTATATGTATTATGATATAATCACCAAAAAATTCCTTAATTTAAAAGATGTCATCTTTGATGAGAAGCAATTTTTTTTTAACCTAACTCATCTTCAATGGTTGAACTCTCAACTTGAAGATAAATTTGATGAAAACTCTTTCATGTTGACATTCCAATAATACAAACTCCTACAAATTCGGCACTTTCTTAAAATTTTCTCCTACCCATAAAACCTTCTTAACAATCATAAGCTCCAATTCCCTTATAATACCACAAGTGGTACTGGAAAAGAAGGATTGGAGGATGTCATGCGAGAAGAAATAAATGCTAAAAAAAATCACATTTGGGAGATCATTGAACTATCAAAATGGAAGAAAATTGTACGATGCAAATGAATTTTTTAATGTTAAATATAGAGCATATGAAAGATTGGAACGATATAAATGAGATTGATTCCAAAGGATATACTCAATCCTATAGATTTGACTAATAATAAACTTTCACTCTTGTTGCGAAATTGAATACAATACACATACTAATTTCTTGTGTAGCCACATGTGGATGGTTCTTGTAATAGCATAATGTAAAGAATGTTTTCTTATGTGACAATGTTGAAGAATGAGCCTATATGAGTCCACCACCTGGATTTGATATTTCTTTTACAAAGAATAAATGGTACAAATCTAAATGTCCTTAAACAATCTCTGAGAGTATGAATGTTGCTGGATATAAATAAAACGAAGGTATTATACCTTTTTCATAAAATGCTCCATTGATATAAGGTCTCATTGTACAAATCATTGTGTATATTGATGATATAATTATTAGAGGTGATGAAAATGGAGAAAATGAGTCTCTTAGGAAAAAAAGTTTGTTGAAAAATTTGAGATCAAGGTATTGGGTGAGCTCAAATACTTCTTGGCCATATAATTTACTCAATTAGAATAATGAATATCCCTCTATCAAGACATATCATTTATCTATTAAAAGAAATCAAAATAATTGATTACAAACCCCGTGAAACTCCAACTGAACTAAGAAAAAAATTGAACTTAGATGAAGAAAGAAAAGAAATATAAATGAGATACTATTAAATATTAGTTGAAAAATTGATTTATCTCACACATGTCCAGGCATTACATGTACGATAAATCTCATCACTCAATTTATGCACCAACCTGAATAGTCTCACTGTTTATATAATCTTTAGATATCTTAGATTGGGCCAAGACGAAAGAATTTTATATAAAAGGCAGGTTTTTTTATAAATTGGAGGAGCAAAAAACAAACTATTGTTTCATACTTTCATGGTCTTGTTGAATCCAAATTTAAATCCATTGCCCAATGAATTAGCGAGCTTTTATGGATCAAAATTATATTGGATATTTAAACATCAAATGGTAAGGGTAACTGAAGATATACTTTGAGAATAAATTCGTCATTAGCGTTGCTCATAAATTCAGTACAATACAATCTTACCAACATATGAAGATGGATAGATATTTCATAAAAGAGAAACTAGAGAGTGGGTTGATTTGTGCCCCATATGTGCCAATAGGATATCATTTTGCTTACATTCTTATGAAAGGACTCTACAACATAACATTCAAAAATATTGTAACAAAATTAGGAATGGTGGATTTATACTATTTAGTTTGAGGGGAAATGTTGAAAGACCATGGGACACACAAGTCAGCTATTCTTGATAAGGATTCTTGAGCACACATATTAATGGTTTTAACCATTAGATCGATACTCTTATAACCTTTAAATTATAATTTATGTGCCTCCCCTTCCTCTTCTATCCGTTGACCCCTTTTGGTGACTTTTTTCATTTTTTTTGTAATTAGCTTTAATTTATTTCCACATAAAACTTTTGGAAAGTCTATATATATACGTCCACACTTTTTACAGAATCAAATAATAAAAATTCAATGTAGTTTTTTTTATTTTTTATTTTTTTTTAATATTTCTATTTTTCTATGTAAGAAAAATATGTTTAGCTAAAGCATGCATCCACTGCGACGTTCTTCCTATCAACACGCTAATCCACGTCAAGGAATATAAAGTTCTCGGGCTTTATGTTGGTTGCTAAAATAGCTAGGCCAACACCAATCTAAAATCTTGGGAATTTCAAAGAATGAAGCAAGCTCAACTCCTATGTTCGTCCAACAATGATGGAGGCACTCAAAGTGAGATGGGTTACTGCCTATCATAATGAGATGGGTTACTGTCAAAGGTCATTCCCAATCACAAAAACATCTACTTAAAAACATCACATGCCTGAATGCTTGGTTTGATTATTAGAATATCATAACCAGTGGGGTTCCAACATTTTTTGCTTTACCAATCTTCCCACGTTAAATTAAGCAATATACTGAACAGCCCTATACATTGGCTTGATTATTACACATCCTAGCTCAAGTGGTTCCCAATATGGCCTGTTTCAATTTCTGGATGATTTTGAATGCTATCAAGTCTTCAATGCTGAACAAGCTTATCAAAATATCATAGCTAGAGGGTTCACCATCCACGAAACTTGGACGCTCAAAATGCAAAATTCTTATGGGTAAATCTATTTAATTGATTAGAAAGTTTTAATAACCCGGCAAAGAAAAACTCTAGGCTTGTAAAGCCTCAGTAAATCAAGATGAAAAGTTAAAGAATGACCAGCTCATCAGTTTAGAGTAAAGTGAGATAAAGATGATTAGATTTTTGTTATTAACAATCTTCCTCGCTGACAAATCAAATGAAGCAATTGTGGGGTTAACCATTGCTAAACACACCTAATGGTTAAACTGGTGTTTCATTGCTTCTCTAATTCTCCTAGCTTTAACATCGCAAATTGATGATAACTTCCTAATTGTTTAAGAAGTCTATAATTGGATTGAACATCTGAACCTAACATGTCTAATCACCAATTATGAAATTCCTTCACCCTGATGATGGACATGGTTTATGAAAAATCATAATTGGATGATGGGTATAGTTACTAGAAATATATTGGAGGCACAACAACAACAAACCCTTATCCCATTATGTGGGCTCAGCTACATGAACCCTTTTTTTCCCATTGTGTCCTATTAAGAGTCAAATTTTCACGTAAATCTAATAAGAAAAGGTCATTACAGAGGATCAACAAAAATAAAACCTTCCTTTATAAAAAAAAATCGTAGATATTCTTATAAACAAGCCACCAAGGATTTTTTCAATCATAGAAAATCATTATTAGAAGGGTCCACCAATAGGCAGACATGTCCTATTAAATATTAAATACTTGTGGCTCGCCAACACCATATTCTTTTGAACCAATGCCTCTGTCATAATGACATATAATAGGAGATAACACCGAATGCAAAGTCTTGTCAACTAATTTTTTTAATTTTTTATTTATTTTATACTATTGACACCAACTCCCATTCCCAATGTTAACACAAAGATTCTTAGATGTCTTGTCAAATAATGAACAATCTATTAGGATGCACTTAGGTCTTTGGGTACTTTCATCTCGTCTTCTTGCTGATGTGGTTGCATCTGGTTGTAAAGAAAATGTCCTTATTTGGGAGTCATTCTCAAAGCAACCATGATTGTCAGGGGCATCTTCACAGTCTCCTTGGCACTCATAAATTCTTTTGTTCGAGGGCCACCAATCAAATCACCTGTAACTGAATTCTAATGAGTAACCTCCAAGGGCATTGATTATTCATGATGTGCCAAGCGAAATTATTATCTTAGTTAGAAAGAGATCCATCATAGTCTCTGTCTTCTCTGTATAATAAAATCAATGCTCCTTCCATCAATGAAAGCCTCTTTGTAGAAAGGCGTTGACTTTAACTAGTGCATAAGGTTGTGACTATTCTAATGATAGGTACATGAATAAATCATCCTAACTAGACATAATTTCTATCATTGCCACTCCTTAAGTCTTACAATATGTCTTGAGCATCTTAGCTGGAGGCCCTATTGTGCATTAACTGTTTTCTTTTCAATGATGGTCAATCAAAGCAAATCTATATGGGAGAGAACTTTCAATTTCAAAGGCCAATCCCCACCATACCCATCCAACTCCTAAAATATGAAAATAAAGTTTTTTTTTTAATTTTAAAAGTTTGGGTATAATCGATTGTTCCATGCTCAAGACTGATCTTCATTCACTAATCCATCCTCAACATCAGTTTACCAATTTTAAAAAATCAAATTTGGTTAAAAAGTTCAAGTTTGATTAAAACTCACGAGTAGTTGTGCCATATTATATGTGCACAATTCTTATATTAATAAGGCTTGTCAAAATCCTTTTCTTTGAGTGATCATGTCTAAAATGTGCCATGAATCACTTTAATTGGGTGAAGGTTGAAGTCCAGATGTTAAATGTTCGAGCCTATGAGTTGCATGTCATATGACACACTCAATAGGGAATGAAGTCATTCGAAGCCAAGATCTTTGAATTCTGCCCTTCAATATGCTTTCCCTCTATTCTACAAGGCCCTTGATTGAAGCATCCTATGGCTTTTGATAAGAATTCTTTTGTCTGTTAGGTTAAGCACCTCCTTTAACAAAGTTGACGAAGGTAAATGAGAAGTCAGGTTTACCTAACTATGGAATCTTGATCAGATTTTTTTGTGATTCCCTTCTCATGCTTTCCTAGCTATGAGTGGCTATCTATCTTGTCGTTATGTTATTTTAGGTTGAACCTCATAGAAAACATGCAATGAAAACAAGGATGATTAAAAGACAAAATCCCACCTAGAAAATTTATTGCCTATCTATCTGATGGGCCAACTGATTTGATTGGGAGGGAATTAGGAAGTTTTCTGATCAAGAAAGAGTTGTTTAGGAAGGTTCTTAATCAAAGGGGAATTATTTAGGAAAGTTTTAGTTATAATTGGGAGAGAATTCTGTAGGGCAAGTGATCTAATTTGAATTCAAATATGAGGGAATTATTTAAAAAAAGGTGGTTGATTTGGGAGGGAGTTAGGGGAGCCTATTTAACGCTAACAATAGGGTGATTTCAGTATTATGTTTTGAGTTTACTGAAATTAGAATTTTTTAGGTTGTGAGGAGGGCTCTAGCCGCCGGCTAGGGATTTGGGAGATCCGGATATTCCTCTCCAATTGAAGATCCAATTGTATCTTGCTATTTTTGTTCATATATCTTGCAATAAAATAGCTTTGCTGTGTTCTTCTTCCTAATTTCTTATCGCCATTCGTTGATTTTGAGTAAATTGTATCCGCTTCCTATCAATATCTTATTACTCAAAATTGTAAAATACACTCTATATATTATCAATAATGCATGTACTTAATCCAAACCATTTGTAAGACTATACAATGAAAGTTACATTTGTCCTCTGATGCAATGAAATTATCCCTTAAATAATATTGGTATATTTGATTGATGGATGATTAAATGGTTTTAGAATCAATAGTTGTAATGAGGTGCAGTGTTAAAAGTTCTTGAAACCTTTTTTTAATTGTAGTGATGTTAAAGAGAGTAAAAGTTTGATGTTACATCAAAAGTTCATTACTTCAAAAAATTTATTGAGGAGAGAGATCATTTTTTTTTCTAGCTTTAGAAAAGTTAGCAGAAGAGCGATCATTCTCGTACCATCTTTATATTTTGCATTTACGACTTTATGTTATCTTCAAACTCAAATTCATAAGTTTAATTATGATTTACATAATACAAATTATATGTGGATTGAATTTCATTATATGTGGGTTGAATTTCATTAAACTTTTTAATGATTTAAGTTCAACAATATATTGAAAATAGAAGAATAATTGAACAACATTTTGAAACCCTTTTAAAAGTCCAGGTTTATCCATATTTTTCACCAATCAATTTTTTGTTTCAGATACATGTAAGAAATCTAAGTATTTGTTTCCAATCCCTTTGAAAGGCTCTATAGGTTGAAATCACAATTATCTTTTCGTGCAATCAGAGCCGTCTATTTTAAAAATTTTGATGTAACCGAGTGATGATAAGTATACATATATATATTTATTTTGGAATTATGCATGCTATTAGTTTTTATGATGTTAAAGCAAATAGATAATTTTGATCTTGCATTTAAAGGTCATAATATCACAAATTAATTAAGAGGTGAATGATGCATCTTCTTCTAGGACGATAAAAGCCTATCCCGAGAGTGTGTTAGTGATTGTGTGGTCCCTCTTCTGGACACCTTTCTACATTTATTGACAAACAAAAAGACCGTCTGCATACATATATCGGCATCACATTTACATTCTCTGTTTGTTTAAATTTACTTTTCACATTAATGGTTTGCTACCCGACTCTTCTTTATTGGTGAAACCCTATGATGCACCAACACTTATCCTTAAAGAGGCGTGTAGTGTCGGACACATATCAGACACAACACGCTTCCGACACACCTCCGATATGTGTCAGACACACTAAAAATGTGTATGATTAAAAAATAAATATTAAATGCAAATTAGACCGACATGTTTGACACATGTATCTTAAATATTTTATGATTTTTAAGTATAATCTCTTGTATTTAAAATTTTTATTTATTTAAAATATAAAAGCTAAAATTCTTGTTTTCTCTCCACAACACCAAATCAATTGCTCTAACTCAATACCCAATTCATTGAATATTCTCATTTTCATTTTTCTTTGGTGGGTTGCAACTTTAGTTTCACAACAATGCCCGATGTCATCTCTACATCGACGTTTGACATCATTACAACATCAACATTTCAAAATCACCTCAACATCAAAGTCTAACACTGTCTTGACATTGATGCTCGACGCTAGCAATTTCTACACCCACAACTTAACAGCTCTTCTTTGTCCGACGTCATCTTAACATCAACTACCAATGCCCTTTCAACATAGATGACAGATGCCCTCTTGACATCGATGTCCTATACTTTCTGCATAACATTAATGCCTGACTCTCAACAATATTATCGTCTCCTCTTTCGATGTGTGATACACGGCATTGACACCCAACTCTCGACATTCTAATATTAATGATTTTAAGCACACATTCTAATTAAATGATTTATTATTTCTAAATTATTTTTAATATTATACTTATTCAAATTTTATACACTATTTTCAAAATAAAAAAATTATAATATCGTGTCCAACCTGAGTTCGTATCATATATTTTCAATAATTGACGTGTCCTGTGTTCGTGTCGTACCCGTGTTGCTGTGTCCGTGTCTGTGCATCATAGGTGAAACCTTTCTATTTCTTAGTTGACAAGCCATTCACATTTTTTTTTAAAGTTTAAAGGTGGTTGATGAGTGTGCTAGTTAACTCGAAGGCATTTCTATATACTGACTTTTTTTCTTTTGTTTAAAGATGGATGCTGTTCTGGGAAAGATTGCTTCAACTGCGCAAGAATTGGCTCACTATCATAAAGGGGATGGTACATTTTCTTTATGCATATCATATCTGTGGAAGCTTAAAGCAATTGTATGGACGATATTCTTAGAATTATGATTTTTAATGTTTGCAATTTTAGCCGACCATCTTGCTAGTGTTGTTGACATGGGTAGCTCAAACTAGTCAGTATATGACCATTATTCTTTTTGTTCTCATGAATGCTTTCCTTCATCATGCAGAGAACACAGTTTTTTTGGCATACTCTGATTTCCATTCCTATCTAATCGGAGATCTAGCTTGTGGCAAGGAACTAAACCAATGGTTTTCCAAACAATTTGATAAGGTACTTGGTCTGACCATTTACTACTCAAATATTGTTCACTTGATTGTCTCAACTTGCACTTGGGATATTTGCCTTTGGAATAAAGAACATTGTATTGTTGGTGGCAAGACCTTTCATAGTTCTTTCTTATTCACTACTGTTATATAAATATCTAGGCTTAAAATTCTGATTGTTTCTCTAGTAGTGAAACTTGTTGTTGGTTCATTACAAAGTTGTTCCAGCTTGGTTATTGTAGTCTTACTGATGAGGACATCGGAGATCAATGGCTACGATCTTGAGTTATTTATTTATATGTTTTTGTACTAGTTTATTTTATATTGTTGTTTTTCCCTTTATACCATTATGGGTGGTCATGTAGTGTTGTAGCCCGAAGGGCATTTTAGTCTTTGTTATTTTTCTTTTCATGAGGCCTATTTATAGGCTAGCTTTCTTGTATTGAAGGGTTGAATTTTTGAATGAAAATTTGTGTTTTGTTTACTTCTTCTTGCATGAGAGCTTGAGAAGGGAGAGAGCTCAAGGGGAGCAAATCGCAAGGCCCACCAGTCGTTGGAAGAGTCCACGGCTCGTGGTTAGGTTATTCTATCTTCTCATTTGTGCTTTCCTCCAACCACTTCCTCTCCACCACAAGAAAGCCATTCAAAATCCTTGTTGCCGCCGCCTCCTTGGAAGCCCGCCGCCGGCCACTCCCACGGCACCGGCCGGCCACCTTCCAAAACCGCCGGCCTCCTCCCCTCTTGGCTCCCCTCCATTAATTCCCCCATTCAAGGCATTAATGCCTATGACTTGAAATTCAAAATTCAAGTCTTTTCCCTCCCAATTTAATCAAAACTGAAATTAAATGTCAGTTTTTGATTAATCTTCCCCACCCCTTTAATTCCATCCAAATCCACTACTCCTAAGTAAGGAATTAATTCAAACACTTTCCCTTCTTGCTGGCCGAAATTCCCCACAGCTGTTGGCTGATTTTTCCTTCCCAAATCCCTTCCAAAGCTCCAGGAAAACTGCTGCCCAACATCTCAATTTGCTGTTTGGAAATTCCTGCAGCAGCCCACCGACGTCCAGCCATCTCGGGAGCGATAATTGCTGTCCAGATCTCAGGGACAGCCCTTCTTCCTGTCTAGAAGTTTCCCTGAGCTCAATAGGTTGCTATCCTGTTGACCACAGCAAACTAGGGTGCTGTCCAGCCGTCCAGAACCAGTCCTAGCTGCTGTCTTAAGGAGATCTAGCGTCGTCCAGCCGCCCGAAGAGACAACCATTGCTGCTGAGTGGTTCCAGAAGTTTGAAGGCTGCTGCCCCTTCATTCCAGCCATCGTCATAGCTTCATAACTTCTTTTTTTTTGGGTAAACTCTTCACTCACTATCTATCTTCTGAGTTTACTCTACTCGTGGTTATAATTTGATTCACAAAGCGCATGTTTTATCGCCTCTGCTAAACCTAATATTTGAATGAGTTGTGAGAGAGGCCCTTCATAATACTAATCTTATTGTTAGCATTGGAATTTCTTGTTGAAACCACTCATGTATGCAAAGTAAAACTTAGTTGACTATTTAATGATCTCAACCTCTCGCATGTGTTTAGACCTAAGCTATTTTATCACCTTAATGTTTTCTTATCGTTTACATCAATAGAGGATTTTGCTTAACATTGCTCTCTAAAATTTACAAGTGCAAACTTCCTTAAACAAGTCATTTTCGCATGTATTGTTTCACATCACTTACTCATAGCTGGTATTTCTGAGAAGTTCTAACTGTTTTGGCTTGGTTAGTGTAGTATGACACCGATAGCTGCCTATTCACCTTATCTATTTTGTTAGTTTGTTTTAGGAAATTTTTTTGGTTCACTTGGTTGTTAGCTCACTCAGCATATTTTTTTTCTGTAGATTTGTTTTAGTTTACTGATTTTATATCTTTCTTACCCAAAAATTTCTGCTGATCTAGTTTTCTCTTATCATATATATGTAGATGAAGAATTTTATTATTTTATTCTCCTTTTTTTGGTTCTAATTTATTCTTTTTATTAATATTAGGGGAATTTCATTTTGTGCCTCATAGTTAGTGGAAAATGCAGAAATATCCATTGTGTTTGTTTTTGTTGACCATTGTTATGTAAAAACGAAAAAAGAAAAGAAATCAAATCCTTACTTGCCATCGCACGTCGTTCGCACGTCGAAGCCACGCTCGACGTCGCATCCCCCACGTCGCTCGCACGATGCGCTCGCATCGTTAAAATGCTGAAGGGGCGAGGCCTTCGGCCTCTTTCTCCACCCCGAGCTCTCTCACTCTCCCTCATTCCTCTCTCGACCTCGCTCCAGCGACGGTTTTCCCTTTCAGCCGATCAGAAGCAATGATCGAAGCTTGCCGATCGTGAGAGCTCCTGTGTCGCCATTCGACTTCGTCGCTTCTTCGATTCCCTTCGTAGCTGTGCGACTCCCCTCCTACGATGTTCCCTTCCTGTTAGGATTGGAAGTTGCGGCATTCAAATCGGAAGCAACAGCGTGAGCCTGCACGCTGTGAAGACAACTTTCTCCCCTTCGGCAGCTCCTTCGTAGCGGGTCGACTTCACTCCAGTCAACGACTTTCCCTTCCTGTGAATCGGAAGTTACTACATTTCGATCGGAAGCACAACGGGAGCTCGCCGCCTCTGTGCTGTTCGACTTGGCTCATTTGACGGCTTTCCCTTCTTGCAGCTCGGAAGTTACGACATTTAGATCGGAAGCATCAAGGGGAGCTCACTGTGAGGGTAACTTTCTCCCTTTGCGTTTTTCTTCGGCCAAATCCCCTAAAATCCACCGAACTGAGGGATTCAGTAAATACGGGATTTAAGCCGTAAGTCCTTAAATCCGGGATTTACCCATCGTCGGGATTTAACGCGCACACCAAAATCGTTTGGCTGGATTTAACGTAGATCCGACTTAATCCCCGCTGTAAATTTGATACTCCCCGTGCGCTTGTCCGGCCAAATCCCGTAAATTCGCCAAACAAGAGAGGTAGAGGAAGAGAGTGATTAGTTTATTTTAATTAAAGTTGATTTTAATTAATTTTAACTTTAATTATTTTAATTAATTATAGTTAGTATAATTAATTAAATTAATTTTAATTAAATATTATAATTAATGTGGTAAGCCCTATACACGCTCTTGTAGCGTGGTGGGGACGGTCCTCGACCTCGACACCGACATCGCCGACACTGCTACAAGAGGTATGATGTTCCAAATCCCATTCTCGACGTTTGTAGCGGACCGGAGAACCACCTATACGCGCTCTTGTAGCATGGTAGGAGGGAGCCCGGGCGAAGCATACGACGAGGTGTGTAAGCCTTATACACGCTCTTGTAGCGTGGTGGGGAGAGCTACTGGTGTTCTGCTGTACGTGTACTGCTGAAGGGCCCATACACGCTTTTTTAGCGTGGTGGGATGAAAATTACTACGGCAGCGGTGTCTAAGGACACCTACCATACACGCTCGAGTAGCGTGGTGGGAAGGCCCAGCTCCCCTGTTTTCCCCCAAACGGGGGATATGCCGGGTTGCTGCCGAAATTTTCGCTAAAATGTACAAAGACTTGAACAATTTGAAGACCTTCTTGGGTAACAATGTAGAAGACCTGTACTCAAACAGAAATGCACAGAACTTGAACACGAGCAGGGGACCTGAACAAATTCTAAATGATTTCTAAAGGTTCAAACTCAAATAAAATAAAATCAAAATGAACTTATAATTGAACTTGTAAGGACTTACAAATTTGAACCAAACAAAATGGCAAAAAGACTTGAACATTCACTTTGAATTCAAACTGGATTGAATACAAGGGACCTGTGAACTTGTGCTGGATTGAATACAAGGGACCTGTGAACTTGTGCACTCAGCTCGAACTCGAGTGAACTCAGACTTGAACTCAATTTGAAGAATGACATGAATTAGACAAGATCATTTGAACTTGTACTCTAAACTCAAGCTAAATCTAAGTTTGACATGAACAATAAGGAGCTTGAACTTTCAAGGACAACAAGGGAGACTCAAGCATGAGTGGAACTTTGAATTCGGGTCCGATTGAATACATAAGACTGTGACTTTGGATGAACGGACCAATCAAAGTTCAAGTGCATAGTCGTCTAAGCTAAACAACAAGTTGCAAGTGAGAAATGAAATCCTAATTCTCACGAAAGAATAATGCAACGAACTCCTCGACAATCCATACAATTACCTGTTGATTGAGATGGCAATACTGGAGACCAGCAATCAAAGATCTACCCCTACAAGCAAGTGCAATCATCTACCCACCTGAGATTGGTGAAAGGTGGAGATGGCGAAGTTGACAACGGCTCCCCTACAAATACTCCTATGAGCTCGTAATGGATACAACGAGTCCCTGCAAACGAGCACAAACCGCTTGTAGATAACAACAGTGGGTATGTCGTAGGTGCAACGAACCACTGTGGGCACAAGTATAAGCATCACCTACGACAGTGTTGATTAAAGTGCTGTCAGTATACCGGGTACAAAGACAACCCGGTGTATGAAGAAGGATACCTCCTGACAGAATGAAAGAAATATTTGAACAAATTAGAACTAAACTTCCTGGTGTTCTAAAGTCTCTTCTCAGTTCTATACTTAAGATGAAAACAGTTCGGGTGCCCACATACATCAAAAATAACAAGTTCATTACACTCAAGATCCTAAAAGGAGTTCTTTCCAAATCAGTGATCATTGACCCCAAAATCTAAAAAATAACCTCCCCGGTGAATGAGAAAGGGGTAGTCAACATCAAGACACTACGCCACCGAATCTGCAACACTTATGCAAGCAGACATAAGGCGTCCACAAATTATAACGCCCCGCCACCGGATCTGCAACACTGATACAAGCAGACAGAAGGCGTCTACAATCTACAACACATCGCCACCGGATCTGCAACACTGATACAAGCAGACAGAAGACGTCTACAATCTACAACGCATCGCCACTGGATCTGCAACACTGATACAAGCAGACAGAAGGCGTCTACAATCTACAACTCAACGCCACCGGATCTGCAACACTCATACAAGCAGACAGAAGGCGTCTACAATCTACAATGCCACGCCACCGGATCTGCAACACTTATACAAGCAGACAGAAGGCGTCTACAACCTACAACGCAACGCCACCGGACCCGCAATATCCATG